AGATAACAAATTTTTTAATTTTTTTTTTTTTTCCCATATACACCCCCCCTTTAAAACTACTGTCCTGCAGAAACAAAGTGATAAACAAAAATCTATTCTTCCCTCCCCCAGTGATAATCTCTTATTGGAATCAAAGTTTAACAGTGAAACAGGCAAGAGAGCTGTTTAGATTTGTGCAAGCAACAGGAAACAAATGCACTAAAATGGCTGTTTACTTCTTTGCATCCAGCTCTTACCCAGGCTCTGTTTGAGGCAATGCTAGAGTGTCACTTTCACAAGACATCTACATCAGCTGCTTTAAGCTGGAGAATGGGATTTGTCAGAATAAAAGAAAAATATTGGGAACCTCTATCAACTTTATTTTCTGCCTCTGTGGGTTTCACTCAGTTGGAATCCAAACTACTTTCTTTTTTTCTAAAAGAGCCCTGGAAAATTCTTCTTGCTTGTGCATTAGTGTCTTATTTACTATTGCTTCTGAGCAGGAGGTTGTCATTACTACTTTTTCTTTTTTTTTTTCTTTCTTTTTCTTTTTTCCTTTTTTCTTTTTTGCTCTTTTATTTTTTCTCTTTTTTGATTTTTATTTTTTTTTTATTTTTCCTTTCTTTTCTTTTTTCTTTTGTTTCCCCCTTTTTTCTTTTTCTTTCTTTTTTTCCTTTTTTGGTTTGGTTGTTATTTTGTTGGTTTGGAGTTTTTTGTTTGGTTTATTTTTTTTTTTTTCAGTCCTCCAGTCATGTGCTTCGAAAACAAACTACTTCTTTTCTATTCCCTTTGTGTTGGTGCAATAAGAATTTATTTCTGGCAACTGGTTCTGTAGGACTCTGGTCCTTGGCTGTGAATCTTGGATTCTTACCAATTGTTCCTGTTCTGGGCCTGGTAGCTTTAGCTCATTAATCTAATGTTCTATAACTTCCTGCTGCTAATCCTGGTTGTTGGGCCCCGTGTTCATTAAGCTTACTCCTGACTCCCATGTATGACATGGGGTGTGAAATAATCTGTAATGACAAGATACATGGAAGGGCAGCCTTGCTCCCCAAGCAGCCCTCCTGGCTTCTGCATCATCACTTGTGCTCCAAGGACTGATCAGCAAGGGTAAAACCTGTCCTGTGCAAATGCTAACACTTGTTAGTGTGCATGGAATAAATGCTCCAAACTTCTTCTTTTTTTTTTTTTTCCCTCTTGCTGAATAAAAGCACTGAGCCAACGTCAGTATCTGATGGGCTGCCAGCTTGAGGCTTGGCCCACTATTAAGTGGAAAAGAGCAGGTCAAGTTGCAGACAGCCTCCTTTTCTCTATCTAAGATCAAGGCTTGTGATTTGAATGCAGAGTGCCTCATGGCTAATGACTCTGAGGCTTAAAACACCTTAAAACGAGAAAGAATTCCTAAGTATTTTTCCATCTTTCATAAGCTAAAATATCAGTCATCTTTCTGCAGCACACAAATGCTCCAGGATGCAATTATGGGTATTATTTTTACTACTTAAAGCCCTGGGAGCTGGGTGGGAGCTTAAATCCTCCTTGTCTAAGTTGATAAACTCACACTGCCGTTGTGACTTAAAAATTAAATTTAGGGAGCTCTAGAGTAGTTTTGCATGTTGTCTCAGCTCCTTGGCAAATATGGGACTCTTTCATGGGTGTCTGGCTGTGTGACAAGGGGAACAGCAACCCTAATGTTTTAGATCTGGGAAGAGCTGCGGTGGTTGGCTGTGTAATGCTCCTTTTCATGGAGCGCCCAAACCTCCAGCAGTTATGCAAAATTAGGAAGCAGCCAGGAGCAGCAAGTTTTCTGTACACTCCCTTTATATTTCACACCAAATTTGTCTGCTTGTCAAGTTGGTTTTTGTGTTTGTTTTTTTTTTTTTTTTAATAAGATCTCTTTTCCTCATAAAAGCTAGTAAGTTAGTTTCTGGGATAAATGTTCTAAATTTCGAGATTAGTAATTATCTTTAATTTAATGTAACCTCAGTTTGTGTGATGGTTCACTACTCTCAAGAGGGAAAACTTCTGACTGATGGCTCTGCAAAAACTGCAGCAACTCATTATGGCAACTCTTTTAGAACGACCATTTGCTGACATTAATTCTAGCAGTGATTAAAAAGCTTGGCTGTGTCACCAAAAGTGTAGGAAAACCAAAAAAAACCTCTCCAACAACATTTTTAGTGTCTGAGAATCAAGGCATTACTTTATTCTGGCCAGTATGTGCAACAGAAATAATTTCATCCACACATTGGCTGGGCTGTGCAGTGAAAATCTGTTCATCGCACATAAATTTTACTTGATTTTTCACATTTTATACAGTCAAAACCCATAGAAATTAATTGGTTCAATGTTCATTTGTCCCAAGTTGCACAGTTCTTAGTATTTGGGTTCCTACTGGTTGGGGGTTCATTGGCCTCTGATGGTATTTAGGTCCTTATTCTTATCTCCTTTTCCCAGACCAGGTGTCTCTGACCATTCTAGGAGTGATGCTTGGAGTTGTTGTTCCTTCATGGTCATTAATGGTTGTTTGTGTATCTTCTGTGCTACTCCCAGTCTGTTGGCATGTTAATCTCATTAGACCTGCCTGATGGAACAGTTCCCCTGAAAAGAAACTTCAATCCCCTTCCCATGGGGCAAAAGCAAAGAAAACTAACTAAAATTAGATTTTTTAAAAAAATTAAATTTTGTGTCATTTCCATCAGCTTCAGCCTTACCTTGAGAAAGAAGGTGGCAACATATGTAGGTATGATAGGACCTATGGTAATTCTTAGGGAAAACTTCTGATCTGTGCCAGTTTACTGCACAGTGAGAGCCAAAACTGATTAGAATATTGTGGCTGAGTCTTTACCTGCACCAAGATGAATAGCAAGATTACTTCATAACTCTTGTTGTAAAATGGTTGTTTTCTGGTTGTTTTTTGTTTGTTTGTTTTTTTTTAATCTTGTGTGCATGTTAGGGGGCCAAAGAAGTCTAGGTTTAAATTACAATAAAGGTTGTACACATTGAACACTATGAGAAAAATAAGTCATGGAAAGGGGACTGGCACTTTGCATCAATTTCCTGGCAAATTGCAGTGTCTTTGGTATGAGATGTTTTTAAGTGAGGTTTACATAAAAGCAGGCTGCATAGGACAAAGCTAGCTGAAATTGCCTTGCTACAGAGGAAGGGGCTGAAGGATTTTTCTAGGTTCCATCTAGTCTTATAACTCTTATCCAGAAAATACTTAGGATATTAAATCACACTCCTTCACCTCTGCCCTGGGTTGGTGCCATTTTCCTTCTCCTGTAAAGGTGAGCTGCAACCTCAGCCATGTAACAAATCATCTCAAATGCATCTCTGGCCACTGCTATTTAAGCATGCTTAGTAGGAAAACTCTTCTTACCCCTCAGTGAGATTCTAATATCCTTGTCTCAAAATACATATAAAATAATGAATACACTGAGTTTTGTCCAGTTTTCCCTATCCTGGCTACAAAATGCTTGAGGCAAGTTTGTGCTGCAAGCTCAAATCAGTAAGGGCTTTGCTGGAATAAAAATAATGATGATAATAACAAAGCAATACCCTAGTACAGGGAATGATTCCCATTCTGAGCAGTGTGTTGGCAATCAGGGTGTTTTGTAACTGCAGTTCATAGCGAGTTTCATATTTTTATGTCATTTTGGCATTAATCCTTGGAATGGTTATAGAGAATAATGTGATGTGCACATTGACATGAATAGGTATAACACTTCATCTTAGTGACACCTCATACCTACAAAATTCAGAAGGATTGCTGTACTAGAAACAGCTGAAAGCAGTGTTTAAAACAACAAATATAATGCTTTAGATTGCAGAATTCATTGAGTCTTGTAAGCATGAGTGAAATATTGATGTTTTTGAGAAGTGAGTTTAAATATCTTCAGCTCTATATATGAGTTACTGTGCAAGACAGCTCCTTCCCGAAGCTAGAAGTAAAAATTAATTAAAAATTCAGCAAATGCCAAAAATCTTATTTCATATGATACAGAGGCTCAATAATTTTCATTGAAAAGCAATCTACAAACAGATCTGCAGGCATTTCCGGCCATGTATGCATAGATCAGGTAAAAACAGAACAAAGTAAATGAAGATACAAGTCTATACTGTAGCAAGATTTAATTATTTGCTTTTTGTATTTAATTATTTGTGGTTTTGTTTTATTTTTCTCAATGTATTCCCTAGCTTTTTTAAACACTTCTTTACCAAGAGGGGGGTCAGACTTTGGAACAGACTTCCTGGAGAGGTAGTAGATGGTGGCCCCATCCCTGTAAGTGTTTAGGAGAATTTGGACTATGCCCTTAATAATGGGCTTTAACTTCTAGTCCCCTGACTTGAACCATTGTAGGTAATCATTGTAGGCCCCTTACATCTGAAATAGTTTAGTTTATTCTAATTTATCAGAGACTAAATGAGTATCTCTTTTAGATGGCATTCCACTGAAAAAATCAATTCAGCTTGCTTTAACAGGAAGGGTGACTGGTGCTTCAAATAGGACCAGATTTTGAGCTCATATTTGTGCAAGGTTGTGGGAAATTCTGCTTGGAGATTATAAACTAATCTCACGAGGTAAAAATTGAGCTGAGAAAGCTCATCTTATTAAAACAAACCAAAAAGAGCTCTTTCTGTGTTCCCTGCTCAGTTATGTGGAATAGACCTGACATGCACATCTTACAGGAGCCTGAAGAGACTGTTTCCCATCTCCCCAGCTACTTTCTCAAAGTTATTAGCATATCACATATTTCCTAATAAACTATGCATTTTCTTTTCTGCTGCTGATTTGGCACTTTAGTGCGGCTTTCGGGGGTCACTTGCAGCTGTCCCCCGTCCCTCCCCGGCCCCCCGGGGCCCCTCCGGCTAGCTGTCCCCTCAGGGGACCGGGGTTTGCCGCGGTCCCGCTGCACTGGGCTTACCAGACAGCGGCTGGGTTAGCACGGTCCGAGCGGCTGCGGCACCTCGGTCGCCGCAAGGAGTCGAGATAAAGAGACGAAGAGAGGTCAGTTGTATGCAGTCCAGAAAGATTGTATTGCCTGAACAGTTGCAGGGACAAAAGACCCTGGGCTATTGCCCAGATACAGTTTTATACAGCAAAATTAAGAGATAAGGTCTAAACAATAGAGACAGTGTTCAGCATGGGCTCATCAGAACCACCCCAGGGGTCAGGTCCAATGGGAACTGCTCAGGGGTGGGGAGAAGGGGGCTTACAGAAAGGTGCTGAAGCAAAGCTTTCCCGAAACAAAGGGGCATACATAAATGTATCTTTCCCTCATACCTAAATGTATCTTTTCCTCAGCTTCCAATTCCCAAGGCCTTTCTAAATCCCTTCCTCCACACTACCACGCCAGCGTGATAGCAACATCTCCCTCTTTTTTACTTAATAAGATGAACGGTGCCTTGGGAGAAGGTAAAACTGCGGCTTTTAAACTGCGGTGTCTTTCTGCTTGTCGTCTTCCCACCAATCGCTCTCCGTGACGGCAGCAGCGATGAGAACAGGTGCGGAAGCCTTAGGCTTCGAGGTGATGACCTTGGAGATTATTTGCTTAAGAATCCCAAATGCTAATAAAACTAAAAACAGTGCAATTAGAAAGTAAAAGATGTCTTTTAAAAGAGACACTGCCCACCCAGAAAGGTCCCAGTCTTTGAACAGATTTTTAAACCAATCTTCATTTTCTTGCTTCACACTCCCAATGAGGCTTCTCATTTCCTGAATGGACGAGTGGACACTCTGGCCTTTAGATGACAGATCAAAACAACACAAACCATCAAACTCTTTACATCCATGACCATGTGCCAACAGCAGGAAATCAATAGCTGCCCGATTTTGGAGGGTAGCCTTTCTGGTTATTTCCTCGTCTTCTAGGAGGTTACTCAGGGCTGTTGATGTTAAATTTGCCTGCTTCGTCACCCAGCATTCCAGATTGCCTAATTCACTCAATGCTTTTGCTGCCGCAACCCATGGTAAAAACACAGAGACGGCAACTCTTTTGGATTTTGCCCAATGGTAAATTTCTGCATCACAATGTTCATCAAATTGACTTGCACTTCGCTTAGTAATTTTTGTCTCACCTTTTGCTCGCCCGATTGGAATTTGGGTCATGTTGGGGGAAGCAAGGGTCAGATGCCCGAAAGTGCATGGACCTCCAATAAGACGAGAGGGGATTCCTGGGTATGCTCTGTCCCCACAGATAAGAAACACTCCCTTGTCCAGCTTGCGGGGACGGAAATCAGTGGTGGATGCAGATTTCAGCTTATAGACAGCTGTGCACCATTGACCCGCCCTGAATTCCACCTTGTACTGTTTGACTTGCTCATATAATTTTACTTCTTTGGTTGGGGAAAAATCAAATTGAATGCAATATTCAGCTTTTGCAGAGCCCAGGAGTTCTAATTCCTGGGGCTCTCCCTCAGCAGAGGGCAAGTCTAGGATCCACTTTTGCCACAAAATGAGGGGGTTTTGCACTGGTGTTTTCCCTACTCCAGGTATTTTATTTTCGTTCACCTGCTTTTGCAAGCGGACCAGACCGATTGGAAACTCATCCCCCTTACTTGGAACCCCTACTAAACATGTGGACATCGGATTTTCTGCTGAGGCAGTAGACAAACACATGTGATCTTGTTTCAAGGCTTGGGCGAGTGTGACCCACACATTTTTCTTGGGCTGTGGAACAATCCACGCGTCCACCGTGCACGGGTAGATGGCCATTGTCTGGAACCAAATGATGAGCAGGAATGTGGAAATTGACATTCTGCTAGTCTGAAAGAAAGATAAAATCATATGACAAGGTAAACTAACTCTGAAAAAGGTACAATTTGCTCTGCCAGTATAAAGGAAAACAGGGATTAGGGGTCTCCTCCTTCCTTGCGGCGTTTTGTGTCTGACGCAACTGCGTTTTCTGTGGGATTCCCCTGAGCATCAGGGGGGTTACTTTGTGGTGGACTCACTCTCCGTTCGGCAGTATATGGTCTGACCCATTTCTTAGGAATCCACCTGAGTCCAGAGGGTGTGGATACGCACGCATACCCCCGTCCCCAAGTGATAAGCTGGTGTGGACCCTGGATTTCTCTAGAGTCTGGATCCCTAATTAACACTGGAGGTCTCTCTTCGGGTCTGAGCTGTTGATGTTGTTTAAAATGACGCAGGACTGGAGGTTCAGGCCTATCAAAAGAACAATTTAAGAAGTTAATGGTGAAAAGGGCTTTGCAGAGCCTCATCTGCGGAGATAGGACCTGGATATCTCCCCGCTGGCGAAGGAGGACCTTTTTTAAGGTCTGATGTGTTCTTTCTATCACAGCCTGGCCGGTGGGGGAGTGTGCAATTCCTGTCCGATGGTTCACTCCCCACTCTTGTAAAAACTCACCAAACGCTCTGGAAATATAGGCTGGGCCATTATCTGTCTTGATGGTTGTGGGGACCCCTAAGGCTGCAAATGCCTGCATAAGATGTTTTTTGGCATCTGCAGTTTTTTGTCCAGTGTGGGCTGAGGCAAAGACTGCTCCGGAGAAAGTATCTACTGAAACATGTACATGTTGGAACCTCCCGAACTCCTGTATATGTGTGATGTCAGTTTGCCACACTTCACAACTGCGGAGTCCCCTGGGGTTTACTCCTGAACTTACAGTTGGTAAAGTGGACTCCTGACACTGGGGGCAAGCAGCCACAATTGCATTGGCTTGGTCACGCCGCAATTGGAATTGGCGGACCAGTCCCGGGGCATTTTGATGAAACAATTGATGGCTTACCTTGGCCTGTTCGAGGATGTTTGGTTGGCCAGCCAGCTGCAGAGGAGCAGCCAGTGCATCTGCTCTACGATTACCTTCAGCTATAAAACCTGGAAGATCTGTGTGTGATCTCACATGCATTACGAAAAAAGGCTGCTCTCGGTGTGAAACTAGAAAGATTAGTTTTGAGAGCAAACTGAATATCACTGGGTTGGAAACCTCTTTGAGCACTGCATGTTCTGCCCTGGACACCACACCTGCTACATATGCTGAATCTGTAACTATATTAATTGGTTCTGAAAACTTTTCAAAGGCCCTGACAACAGCGTCCAGCTCAGCAACCTGTGGGGAGCCCTCCACAACCTTTACATCAGCTTCCCACTGCTGAGTCTGGGGGTCTTTCCATGTGATCACAGATTTGTGGGACCCTCCCGACGCGTCTGTGAAAACTGTCAGTGCTTTCAGTGGTTCACTGCTCTGGATACTTTTTGGGATCAAATGAAACTCTGTTTCAAACAATCTGTGGCCTGGATGGTTGATGAGAATTTGTCCAGTGAAACTGTCTAGGGAGAATTGCAAGTTTTCATTGGTCTGAAACAGGTGCTCGAGTATTTCCTTAGAGAGTCTCCCTGTGGATATTTTGATAGGGAGATGAATGCATGCGAAGTCACACCCTGCCAACACCTGCAAGCGAGCTCTGGCCCTCATGATCAGCTGGGCCATCAACTCTTGTGGCTTGGTGATACTTTTGGACAACTGATGACCAAGGAACACCCACTCTATAATTAAGAGGGGATCCCGATGGTCTGTGTCCCATTGAAAGATCAACCCATGGAGGTGTGGCAACTTACCAAGGATGATGAATCGGAAAGGCAAGCCCTCACGACACCTGTGGGCCTGTCTGTCTGCTAAGGTGGACTGAATTTTCTCCAAAGCAGCCCTGGCCTCCTGGGTCAGGGCCCTCGGGGAGTCTAACTCTTCCCCCCCTTTTAATAAATTGAAGATGGGGGACAACTCTCCCGTGGTGAGCCCCAGCCAGGGTCTGACCCAATTTAGAGACCCACAAAGCTGGTGGAGGTCTCTTAATGTTTTTGGATCATCATTTATCATTGGTTTCTGGGGTGTGATGGTTCTGTTACCAATTTCAAGGCCCAGATACTTCCAAGGCGGCAGGTGCTGCACCTTTTCCTTTTGCAACTCAAATCCAGCCGCCGACAAGGCTGAGATAGTGTCCTCCAATGCCTTTGCAAGTACGTTGTCACTGTTGGCACAAACAAGGACATCATCCATGTAATGATACAAAATGCAATCCTTCCACTTGGCACGGACTGGGGACAGAACTCTGGCCACATACCACTGGCAGATGGTGGGAGAGCATTTGAGACCCTGAGGAAGAACTGTCCAATGGTAGCGTTTCATGGGAGCCGCTCTGTTAAGAGAGGGCTCGGAAAAGGCAAAGCATGGTGCATCATCTGGGTGTAGGGGAATTTGGAAGAAGCAGTCTTTGATATCAAGCACTGCCAATTTCCAATTCTGGGGAAGCATAGATGGGGAAGGCATTCCTGGTTGAAGAGATCCCATGTCCTCAATGACGTTATTAATTTTTCTCAGATCGTGGAGGAGCCGCCACCTGTCTTTCCCCGGTTTCTTGATAACAAACACCGGAGAATTCCAAGGGCTCTGGGTTTCTACTATATGTCCTTTTGCCAATTCCTCTTTCACAATTTGAGAGAGCGCTCTTGTCTTTTCTGTAGACAGCGGCCACTGGTCTACCCAGACGGGAGTATCTGTGAGCCACTTAAGTTTTTGGGTAGGGCGCTCCTCAGTGGCCGCACCTAAAAATCCTGGGGGCTTGGTAGTTCTAACTTCGCCCCCCATTGGGACATGGCATCTCTTCCCCAGAGGGTGAATTTTGAGTCCAGAACAAATGGGCGTAGAGATGCTGATTGCCCATTCGGTCCCTTGATTTGGACCACATTTTTGGACTGTTGTGCTACTTTTGGACCTCCCACACCTATAACTGGGTGGCCTACATTTTCCAACTCCCATTGCTTTGGCCATTTTTGAGGAGGAATGACTGTCACATCTGCCCCGGTGTCCATCATCCCCTGAAGGAGAACGGAATGGCCCTCGCTCTGGAGGCCACACCACACAAGGGGTTTCTCTTCCCCCAGCGTCTCGGTGTAAAAGACTGAGAGGGCATGATCATCACACAAAAGACGGGGCACTGGAATGGCCTGCGCAATGATCTGTCCCTCCGCCAGGAAGAGAGGAGGGTGGACACAGCGTGCCATGAGATAGAAGGTCCTGGGATCGAGTGAAACGATGCCAGGAGGGATTTCTATCTCCTTAGGAGTGTACTTTGTGTCCCCAATGACAAGGTACTTGCAGTTTAGTAGATCATTCCGTCTGCGAGTTTCGCAGTCCCGAATGCGGGGCAGGAGCTCTGCTGTGGCTGTGATGAAATGCCAGTCCTGATTAGAAAAATGAACAGGTTTAGTGAGTCTCAATCGGTAAGGTTCGGTCTTATCAGTGGTGTAAGCTTGGCTGCTGACACTAGGTACAATGTGGTGAACAGCAGCTCTGGCCACAACACCTTGGCCCACCCCATTTGTGTCATCACGCGGGATAGGACCGCGCTCCCCAATTAGTTTTTTTGCTGATTGGAGACCTCCCCCGCCCCCGCTTTCCCCCTCAGAGGGCACTGGCCTATGAGATGTCCCTCCTGGTTACAGAAATAGCATCGGCGTTTGGGTGCAGGAGGCTTGGCAGCCCTTGGTGTTTTTGGGGTTACCATTGCCTCTGCAATCACTTTCCCCCGTGGTTTCATCACTGAGTCCCTTGTCATTAGTGTAGCTTTTCTCGTGCACTCCTCAATGAGCTGATCGAGTGTGGGTGGAGGCGATGCTGGAAGGGCCAGGATGACTCGCTGACAGGCTTCATTTGCATTTGTGGTGACAATTTCTAGTGTGAGCTGATCTTGGAGCTCTGGATTTTGTACCCTTTTCTCGACTGAAGCTCTCACTCGATCCACAAAATCCATGAACGGCTCTGCAACAGACTGCTTCAAATCGATATAAGAAATGACAGGTTCTTTAGAAGGCATGTTAAAAAATGCACGTTCTGCTGCATCCCTGGACAGGTCTAACACTGGTCTGGGAATGCCTGCTGCTTGCTTCTCAGCTTGGCTCCAATCACCCTCACCCACTAGATGTTCTAAGGTGATTTCCTCATCCTCTATATCTGTGGAATGGGTTGAACTCTGCAAAATCTCTGGAAGGAGGTCTCCTGCAAGCCTTTTCCAAGTTCTTTCCCACAATCTAAATTCAGATTGAGGGAGCAAACAGCTGAAAAGACGTTTCAAATCAGCAGGGACAAAAGTTTTGGAACTCAGAGTAGCTTTTAAAATGCTCTTAAAAAATTCACTCCTTTCACCAAATTCACGTTTTGTTTTGCAGAGTTCCCTGATACTGTCGTATGAAAGGGGTTCCCATTTAGGATTTTGTCCTCTCGCATTATAAACAACTGGGGCCATGAACAGAGGATCGGTGCCTGTGACCGGTTTCTGTTTCCCGGAGCCGACAGCCCCGGAGCTGGCAGCTCCGGCTCTGCCGTTGCCGAGGGAACCAGGAGCGAGAGGGGGGGCGGCTTGTGTGGGAGTGGCCGCAGCTGGCGGGGCCGTGTGGAGCAGGGCAGAGGCGGGGGCAGGGGGTGGTGATAGAGCTGCGAGGGGAGGAGCTGAGGGCTGGACCGTGGGCTGAATCGCCGCAAGGGAGGAGGGATTGGGATTGGGGATGGGCAAAGGGAGGGACACGAGGGCTGGGGGTGTGTTCTGGGCTGGCACGGGGAGCAAGGAATTCTGGGAAGGAGAAGGGAATGTCCCGATGCCGCCTCCATCTTGTGGTGGCTGCACGAGGGGGTTGCGGGGTGCAAAGCAAGGATTTTGAGCTGCGGGAGCGGAATCAGGAGATGGAGAAGGGTCAGGAACTGAATCTACATCTGCGCGGTTAGTTTTTTCAAAGCCGGGGACGCGGGGGGTTGCAGGGGACGCGATGTGACCCTTTTCTCTTCCCCGGACGTCCCGAGTGTCTGCACTCTCTTTCACAAAGTCATAAACGAACAAAAAGATTCTCATAAAACCTTCTTTCACTGAGGGATCTCCTGCCTTTGTCCTTTCACTCAACACTGCACCCACACGCTTCCAAAACTGTCTTTCTTTCACATCTTGCTCTGTTACCTCCGAAAAACTTACTGATACCCATTTAACAAACTCTTTCACCAGACTCTCAGGAAGTTTTGCACCTGCTCTCTGCAGGGGTTCTTGAACTTGTTTATAAATCTCTTTCTGCTGTGTAGTCAGCGTAACACCCATCGCTGGCTGCACAGCAAAGTCTCACCCAGCTGCTACAGTAAAAACCCCAAAGTTCTAAAGACCCGGCGGAGCTCCCGACACGCCTGCGCGCTGACGTGTCCCCCCTTGGGCACACGGGAGCCTGACTCCAGTCTCCTGGCTGGACCCTTCCCGCCAGTACCGAGACTTACCCACCGCCGTTCTTCAGAAAACACACTGCAGCAACGGTTCCCGACTCCGCAAACAGTCTTCCGGGTGTTTGGAAGGTCCCGTCCGCATCCACGGATACAGCACCGGACAGAAATCGGTGCCTGTCCCCGCGGCGGCAGTCCTGCCGGGCTTGTGTGGAAGGGCGAGTGCCCACACCACCAGCGCGGTCCGAGAGCTTCTCCCCGCGGAGCTGACAGCCTGCGTGGCGATTTTTTCGCACCGCTCGCCGCTCTGTCGCTCGCGGCGACACCGATCGCAAAGTGTCCGGAAAAGCTCCCAACCGGTGCACTGCCCGCGGCGGCCGGGGCGTGTTCGCTCAGACCGGTGCAATGCCCCACGGTGGTGCGCCACTTGCGGCTTTCGGGGGTCACTTGCAGCTGTCCCCCGTCCCTCCCCGGCCCCCCGGGGCCCCTCCGGCTAGCTGTCCCCTCAGGGGACCGGGGTTTGCCGCGGTCCCGCTGCACTGGGCTTACCAGACAGCGGCTGGGTTAGCACGGTCCGAGCGGCTGCGGCACCTCGGTCGCCGCAAGGAGTCGAGATAAAGAGACGAAGAGAGGTCAGTTGTATGCAGTCCAGAAAGATTGTATTGCCCGAACAGTTGCAGGGACAAAAGACCCTGGGCTATTGCCCAGATACAGTTTTATACAGCAAAATTAAGAGATAAGGTCTAAACAATAGAGACAGTGTTCAGCATGGGCTCATCAGAACCACCCCAGGGGTCAGGTCCAATGGGAACTGCTCAGGGGTGGGGAGAAGGGGGCTTACAGAAAGGTGCTGAAGCAAAGCTTTCCCGAAACAAAGGGGCATACATAAATGTATCTTTCCCTCATACCTAAATGTATCTTTTCCTCAGCTTCCAATTCCCAAGGCCTTTCTAAATCCCTTCCTCCACACTACCACGCCAGCGTGATAGCAACACTTTAGTATGTGCTTTGAGAAAAGAACTGATTCAGTATAAAACCGTATTTATTTACCCCGGCCTTTTATCTTTCCTGAAGTGTCTCTGCAAGACCAGAGGCAGGAATGCAAGTGTCCTGTTCCCCACAGATGTGCCCTGTCTGCCTGAGCACTTGAGCCTGCTCATCTGCTGACATCTGTTCAATGTGGCCCTGAGCTCACAGACCCTCCTCTTGAGACCTGTAACAAAGATGGCCACAATTTAAAAAACAAACCCAAACAAATAAATAATACACCTCTCCCTTCTTTTCTTCTTTTTCTCAGGTAAGATTTGTTCAGGAGCAAACAGGATTGCTCATAAGCAGAGGGTTTATTCCAGTTTCAGCAGTTTTTAAACCAAGATAATTAGTGGTTCATAACCCTATTTTGGTTTTGTTCAGAAAATATGGGAAAATTAGATGGCTTTTAGCTGACCAGGCTTAACAATGAGGTGTAAAGTGACAATCCTGTGCCCTAGGTACAGGAGGGTGGTATATTGTGCTAATTGCCCACTTGCTTGAAAATTTAATGCACTCTGATCGGTTTAGAGAGTCTGTGACAATTCTAACAGGCATCTTGTCCAATTAATGTGAGTCCTTACCTTTTCCCCCTTCTGAAAAACAAACACACTGCTTTACTACATCTGTGTGCATTTTCCACATGAGCCTTCTCCACTTCTATGTGCCCTTCCACGTGATGGGGGTGGGCTGGGGAGGAGAAGCAGAAGTAGTAACTTAATTTGTGCAGAAGAGATCTGTGTGGAGGGTCATTGCAGAGGGATGCAGAGATTGTAGCAAAGAATGACAGAAGTAAATCTACTCTCTGTGAACCAAAATAGAAGTGCTAAGTCGTAAGTTCAGTCATTCAGTCTGAGCTTGGATTAATTTATATAGGCAAAAAATAGGTTTGTCCTTAACAGATTTTGAAGAGTAAGATAGAATACAAGACTGTAAAAATAAAACCCAAATCTGACTGGTAAAATTTTGAATGGGGACTTGGCTTTTATCTTAACTTGGATCAATATTTAATACTCTTTTCATTTGGATTACTGCCATAGGATGGGTTTTAGAAATGGGGCCCAAAGTGATGTATATATGTAGGCATATTGAATAGTTTATATAAGAAATCATTCTTAGACATCAGGCTATCTTTTATTTTATTATGGTTCTTTGATACTAAATTCAAACTCTGGAGTGCAGTTCTTTTTAAATTTAAAGTTTCATAACTTAAAAATATTTTTTTATATATTGTACTAAAACTTTTCTAAATTTCCATTGTGTGATTCATGAAAGGGAAGCTGGCTAACAGTAAAGAAAATACTGTTCTGGAAACAGCTGTAGTGTTTTATGTAGGTGTTATTATTGGTAGAGATTGGTAACACTTAAAAAAAAAAAGTTGACAAATTATTAAACTCTGAGTTTCTTTTAATTCCCATTTTATAACTTTTAAACTGCATTAGCTGGGCTTTTAGGATAAGGAGCTGCAATTTTTTACATCATTCTTATTGCTGTCTCTCTTAATATACAGCATTTGTAGAAACAACAAGTATTTCCGTGTCTGCATTTATATAGTGGGATAGCTTTAGGAGAGCCATCACATTCTGTAAGACTAAATTTGCTAAGTTCAAAAGACTAAACTAAAATTTTTAAATTTATGGAGAGGAAAATGAAAATAAAACATTTTCTGCTCTGGACACTAATCTCTAAGTTTGTACTCACAAATAGTATAATCAGTTGCTAGAAGACATGCAGGTATAAATTGGGTCAATATCTGTTTGGGAGATCTCATCATCTCAAGTTATATAGCATAACATGACTGAGTAAGCTGTATGTTCATGGTAGAGATTAATGTCTATGTACAACTCTATTTATTAAGGAGAACTTAACAATATCTGCAGAAGTGTGGATGGTAGACTAATTTCTGTTTCCTCTCTCTTTGGGGCACTGTCAATCTGTCTACATAAATTGGCTCCGCCATTTTTGTGGTGAAACTTTCTTCTCATTAATTTTTAAGCTGTTTTGCCAGTGGCTTTGCAGCATAAATACCACTGCCATATTTAATCACAGATGTGCCTCTCACAGTACCTGAGTCATTCTTTCCTTCAGCAGTAGAGCAGAGCACTCAGAGATGCCACATATTAATGCGAAGCATTAGGCTGAAATTGCATTTGAAAGCTTCAATACAATAGAGCTCAGTGGCCTCTTTTTGCCTTAGAGGCAACAGTAGGGAAACTAGCACGTAATAAGAATTTTAACTACAGTTCCACTTTGTATTATCTACTGCCTTGAAGCATGATGCCGAGAGAGAGACAGACATACCTCTGGGAATCAAACCCCTGGACTGACTAGTAGATAAAATATAGGTGATGATAAACATAAGTCCTTCCAGTCAAAGCTAATAATCTTCTCATCCTTCATCAGTTCTCTCTCTTTTTAAAATTTTATTCTTCATGATTATTTATATTTGTTTCTCTCTTGCAATAGATTTTCTGATACTTTTATTTTTTTAACATCTACTAAGCATTCTCAGGAAAGTTCTTTGTCTACAGCTGTAAATGAATTGTTATCAATTACCTTGTTAAAAAAAAAACAATTTTTTTTTCAATCTTCTGAATTAATTAGCTTTTCACAGTAGAATAACATTGGAAAATTATACAGTTCAGTATTTTACATATTATATAGGGGATTAGAAGTGAGACAGGTTTGGAGTTGTACTGAAATATGTGATATACATTATGGGGTTTGTATAATTTTTTTCTTACACTTGAAACCTACAGTGTTTAAAAAAAAAAGACAAAATTGTTGACACTGTTTAAAAAAGGTTTAGCCACTAACTGTATTTTTTATTGCATTGATGGGAAACTTGTGCATTCCTTAACTTGCAGAAGGGAAGACATCTATGTGTGTTTGGAACTCTTTATTGATACACATAGAATTGATTTTATTGATAGACATAGAATTTTTACATATGTATACATAGAATTGATTGTATTTCACTTTCATAGCCCAAGCAGTACACTGGGAGCAAAGCAAAAACCCCAAAAACCCCCAAATAACCAAACATTCTCCTCCTTGCCCCCCAACAACAAAACCTTTAAGGAAGAAATGTTTTGGGAAAGAATATGTTTATATTTGGTTTTAAGTGGTGTGGTCAATTTAGATTCACTTTGTAAGTGCAATAATACCTTTTTTTTTTTATGAGAAGGGTGAAAAGTTAATAAAAAAAGTACCCTTAGTTTTTCCTTTTAAGTTTCACTTTACTGATCCTATGGCTTCTTTTGAGTTATCCCTTGAACCCAAGAAAACTTTTAAAAATTTTTCTGGACACATGAATTTTAGGTGTTTGGCACTCATTTTGTTCTATAAGGACAGCTACATACTGCAGTGTATTCTTATGATAATTTGGCAACTCTTGATAGCAAAGAAATAGAGGTTGTTATGCGTCGCTATTGCAAGGAACAATAGCAAATGGAGCACAGTAGGTCTTCTAGGATTCAAAGAAAATTAAAACATGTGGTTTTAATTGTTTCTTTTTTCCTGTGCATCCAGTAAGACTTGGAAATCCAATGTGTATTTGTGTGCTGTTCTCCCATGCACACGTTCACACTTCTTTCAAGAAGTGCTTTTTCATTGTGCTTGCAAGAACGCAGTGAGCTCTGTTGCTGAGTGAGATGCCCATCTTCCAATATCTAAGAGCAGATGCTGTTCATGGGCAGCGCCTCTGTGTCAGTGTGCTACCAATTCATGTGATTGCCAGCTAGAAAATTATACATAGAGTGAGCCAAGTAAGGGCATGTTCACCTGTGCTCATTGGAAGTACAGCCCCAGCAAGTTACATCCTGAATTATTCTGATGCTCAGTGATATTAACATCCACTTGGAGGAGTCAGGTTTTGGCTCAGACATTAAACCTATTATGGATGAGGATTATTTTGACTACTTTCAATGGTTGTGGACAATAGTATCTCAGCAAAACAACTGTGAGGAAATCCATGAAAGATCTGGCAGAACTGGGTCCTGGAGAAATACAAAATCAAGCTTTTTTTTTTGTTTGTTTTTTTTTTTAATCTCCATCTGTTTTCTGTGCCTATCTGTCTGCCAAAAAAGTACATGCTGAGTTTCAGTTCATGAATGAACGAG